CGCGGAATCTTTTTCGGCGGCTTAGCTATAACGTGCATTCCCGAGGAGGGCGCTTTTGTCGCTTTCGGCAACACCGAGGCGTTATACCGGAACATGGTCGTGGGGCATGGGCCCTACTGCGAGGAGGGAGAGGGAGGCGAGGGGGAGGGAGAGGGGGGGGGAGGGGAGTGTGAGGGGTACGGGGGCGAGGGAATGGAGGGAGAGAGGAAGAGCAAGGGCGAGAGGGGGGGGCAGGGGACGGGTCGATGGCATACTAGGGGGGGCAGGGTGGTGGGCGGCGATCGCCGCATACCGTCCTATTGGCGGCGAGTATCGCTACGCCAGGGAGGACAAGGACGTCGACGTGCAGCTGCTGCTGTTCGAGTCGTTCGGTGGGTTCGGGAAGGGGGTCGGCGCGATCCTCTGGAAGGCGGCGAACGCGCTGCAGAACAAGCTGACGCGGGCCCAGTACCTCGATGAGGTGACTTGGACCACCAAGAGCTGGCTGGGGCTGCAGAAGCAGCGCATCTCAGTCGTTCTTCACACGGCAATCGCAGAGCAGATTGTGAATGAGCTTGCCTGTGGCGGGGGTGGGCGGGTGCACGGAGCTAAGTGCCTCGCCGTCCTCGCGGGAGTCGCTTAGGCGGCTCCCGTGGTGTACCTGTGTTAGTGCCAGTGCGCGCCAGTCTCGTGCCCAGTGTCGTGCGAGGGAGTTTTTTGGTTGTCAGTGTTTTTTTGAAAACAGACAACCCAAGGGAGGACCTAGTGTCGTGCGCGGGGCTCGCTTGCTAAATTTCTTTTCGCAGTGTTGCCCGCTGCTCGTCAAATTCTTTTCGCGAGGGGGCCGCTGCTGCGGGCGGGCGGAAGGCACCGCGGCGCCGTCGAGGGCGGCGCCGTGGCGCCAAGGACCACAAAGGAGAGTTTGAGAATGTGCCCGACACCGAGGCGGCGAACCACGGAACGACGCCCCCCCCTGCCATCTCTGGTGGCTCTGGAGGCTCCGCAGAGGCGGAGCCCCCTGGGGGGCCTCGTCCCACGTATCCTTGCGGCGTAACCATCACCTCGGCTACAACGGCACAGGTCTCCTCTCCTTCTTCCTCTTGGCCGTGCGGCCCCGACTCGGAGCTGCTGCCATTTGAGCTCACTGAATACGCGCGGCTCTATAAGCTCCAGAACGAGATGAACGTGCGGCACAGGAGGAGGAGGAGGACACGGAGGAGGAGATGGACGAGGAGGAGAGGGCGTTTAGGGAGGAGCGGGCACGCACACTCCGAGGAGAGGCTCCGACGATGACGCTGCAGGAGTTTTCGGACCTCGACCAACGAGTCTTTGCGCGCGTCTCGGCGCGCGCGGCTCAGCCGGCGCCGCTTTCGAGGTTGGAGGAGCTGGGAGACGAGATACGGGTCGAGGGGGCTCGTGTGCGGGCGCTCGAGTTCAAGGCAAAGGAGGCTTTTCTGGCGCGGAGCGGACTTAGCGGCCAGGCGTTGGAGGCCGAGGAGATGCGGTTGATGCGGCTGAGGGAGGGGGCGAGCCTGCTCCGCAGGACGCCTGCCACGGCCACGCCCCTCGGGGCGAAGAAGGCGGGCAAGCGTGCCGCGGAGGCGGAGCGCAGGGCGATTGCGCTTGAGAAGGAGGTGTGGGTTGACAGGGAGTGCCGGGGTGGGCGTCGTGATGGAGAGGGCGATTGCCGCCCTCCCCCCTTCGCCCACTTGACGCCTTCGTGTAGGCACCCCCGCGACTGTGCCTCTTTTGGTACCGTGGCGTACCTGTGTCGTACCTGTGTGCTGTGAGAGAGATCCCCTTTTTTTGAATTCTTTTCGCCAGCGCGGCGGAGCGTGCTTCTCGCCTCTCCCCGCATGTTCTCGTCCTCCCACCTGCACGTCCCGGGCGGCGTCGAGGT